ATATGCTAAACATAATACATTTTGTAATTCCAATAAACCAGGTAGGTGGTTGGCCTACATGTTGAGGAAAAAACAGAAATCATGAGTCATTAGTAAGATAGAATATAGAGGTAAGGAAGTTTACCAACAGAATATGATTAAAAAGGCTTTTTTGGAATTTTATACAAAGTTATATGCTAGGGACTCAATACAAGGTATAGATATAGATAGATATCTAAAGGAAGGGAATATTTTGGAATTAACGTTGGAACAGAAGGAAGGATTGAATCAACCAATAACTTCTGAGGAGATTGTTGCGGCAATTAAGCAGTTAAAAACAGGGAAAGCTCCAGGAACGGATGGACTAACAGCTGTTTATTATAAGAATTTACAGCTTGAAATGGTAGAGCCACTTGGAACTCTACTTTGTAAAATTCAATTAGGAGGAGGAGTTCCACCCTCTTGGAGAACAGCTTTTGTTTCATTGATTCCGAAGGAAGATCAAAACTGTATCAAACCTGAAAATTTTAGACCAATTTCACTTTTGAACACGGATTATAAAATTTTTGCTAAGATATTAGCGAATAGATTAATGCCAGTTATGCAACAAGTTATTCACAATGACCAATCAGGTTTTATAAAAGGGAGGCAGATGAAATATAATGTTAGGCAAATTATAAACTTATTGGAATATTTGGAAAAAAATAACCAGGTCCCTGCAGCGTTCATATTCTTGGATGCAGAGAAAGCATTTGATCGATTGAACTGGCAATTCCTGTTTAAATAATAGAAAAAATGCACTTTGGGGAGTATTTCATACATTCAACTAGAGCAATATATCAGGAACAAACAGCACAAATAATAATTAATGGAGGTTTAACAGATGTGTTTAAAATTGAGAAAGGTACGAGGCAGGGTTGTCCCTTGTCTCCATTGTTGTTTATTTTAACTTTAGAAGTTTTGTTGAATAAGTTACGTGATTCTGACAAAATAAAGGGAATTGTAATTAGACAGCAGGATTATAGACTAAGAGCATTTGCAGATGACCTGGTTCTTACTTTATCTCAACCTATAGAAGCGGCTCCCTATATGCTGGACATAGTAGCTCAATATGGCAAAGTATCTGGATTTAAAGTAAATCTACACAAGACAAAGATGATAACTAAAAATATGACCATAACTCAAAGAGTAGATTTAGGGAGAATAACAGGGTTTGAAGAAGTTAAAAAGGTTAAGTATCTAGGAGTATATATTGCAGCCTCAAATACGAAATTGTATAAAAACAATTATGAAATTCTTTGGCAAAAAGTACAGAAAGAAATGGAAAAATGGAAAAAGTTACAACTATCACTACTGGGAAGGATAGCAGCAATAAAAATGAATGTACTACCTAGGTTTTTATTTTTGTTCCAAATGATACCAGTGCTTAAAAAAGATGGAAATCTGATGGAATGGCAGAAAGGGGTTAATACTTTTATCTGGGCTGGGAAGAAACCAAGAGTGAAACTGAAAATTATACAGGATATACGTGAGAGAGGAGGTCTTAAAATGTCTAACTTAAGATTGTATTATGAAGCAGCAGCTTTATCACAAATTAGTGATTGGTTTAACTTAACTGAAGAAAGAATGTTAAACATAGAAGGTTATGATTTGTTATATGGATGGCATGCTTATTTGTTATATGAAAAAAAAGTGGATAAAGTGTTTAAGGGTCATATACTCAGAAATGCATTGTTGAGGGTTTGGAAAAAGTACCAATATAAGTTGAACTATAAGATACCTATATGGACAAATCCCAGACATGCAATAGAAAATATAAGTATAGAGCAAAAAATAGAGGTGATTACTTATAAAGAGCTTCTTCTTTTGGAAAGGGGTAAGTTGCAACTGAAACCTTTAGATGAATTAAAAGAAGAAGGGATAATTTATACTTGGTTTCAGTATGATCAGCTTCAAGCTAGATGGAGGGAAGATCAAAAAATTGGGGTTATGCAAAATGAGGAAAATCTGGTGAAACAGATTAGAGATCAAAGTCAGATGCATATTAAAAGGTTGTATAATGCATTATTGGAAATAGACTCAGAAACGGAATTGGTTAAGGACTGTATGATAAATGGGCACAAAACTTTCAGGAACCAGTGATGATGGAAACGTGGGGAAAGATTTGGGTCAGAAATGTTAAATTTACGCAAGCACAAAATTTGAGAGAGAATTTTTATAAAATGTTTTACAGATGGCACTTAAATCCTAAAAAATTATCCTGTATGTACTCGAATTTGCAAGCTAAATGTTGGAGATGTGAATGTAATGATGCAACCTATTATCATATATGGTGGACCTGTAAGAAAATCAAGGCATTTTGGATAAAAATTTGGTGGGTGATGCAGGACATTTTGAAAAGAAGGTTGAAACTTACTCCTCAATTGTTTCTATTGGGTATAACTATGGACTGTACAGTTTCAGAGACTAAATTGATTTTGAACTTAATATCAGCAGCTAGGCTGCTGGTAGCTCAATATTGGAAGAAGGACTCTTTGCCTACTATTGAAGAGTGTATATTGGGGGGGGATGAAGGGGGGGGAAAGGGGGGGGAACATGGGGGAAATTTTTTTTTTGTATTTCTTCTTTGTAAAACTTTTCAATAAAAAAAAAAAGGAGCTTAGCTGCCCACAAATCATACATTAAAGGTAAACGTAAAGGTTCCCCTCGCACGTATGTGCTAGTCGTTCCTGACTCTAGGGGGTGGTGCTCATCTCCGTTTCAAAGCTGAAAAGCCAGTGCTGTCCGAAGATGTCTCCGTGGTCATTTGGCCAGCATGACTAAATGCCAAAGGTGCACGGAATGCTGTTTACCTTCCCACCAAAGGTGGTCCCTATTTTTCTACTTGCATTTTTTTTTTAATGTGCTTTCGAATAGCTAGGTTAGCAGAAGCTGGGACAAGTTACAGGAGGTCACCCCGTTACACAGCACTAGGGATTCGAACCGCTGAACTGCCGACCTTTCGATCGACAAGCTCAGCATCTTAGCCACTGAGCCACCACTTAATTAATCATACATTAATTCAGCCCAAAAGAACAGATCAAGGAATTTCTCAGTTAAGCCCATGCTCATAGATTCAAATAGAAACATAGAAAACTGAGGGCAGGAAAAGGCCCTCCTTTTTCTTCATAAGGATCAAATATTTTACCCTTGTCTTTTTCCATCACACTTTTTCTTTAATCCTGAGTCTACTCTGCTGGTCCTATAATGGGCTGGTCATCTCCCATTCATAAATTTGTTAGATCAGACATTGCTTAGCTGGACTTATTAGGAGGTTGAGGCCCAACACATAATCCAGGAATCAACATCACAACACCTGCTATTATGTATTATTAGTGGAAGAGCAACTTCCACTAATAATACATAATAAGGGTTCTGTGATGAAATGAGATCTGCCTGCCTGACCTCTCTCTCTCTCTCCATCTATCTATATCATCTATCGTCTATCGTCTATCGTCTATCGTCTATCGTCTATCGTCTATCGTCTATCGTCTATCGTCTATCGTCTATCGTCTATCGTCTATCGTCTATCGTCTATCGTCTATCCCTCTATCTATCTATCTATCTATCTATCTATCTATCTATTAATCTTGTCATCATTGCTATCACCCATCTCCTCCCACTTATGACCTTATGACTGTAACCTCATTGCTGGTATCCTTACGATTTATATTGATTGTTTCCTAATATAATTTGATTGCTTATTTTTACCCTATGACTATCATTATGTGTTGTACCTTATGATTCTTGACAAATGTATCTTTTCTTTTATGTACACTAAGAGCATATGCACCAGGACAAGTTCCTTGTGTGTCCAACCACACTTGGCCAATAAATAATTCTATAATTCTATAATAATTCTATAATAATTCTATAATATCTATAATAATTCTATAATTCTATAAGAATTCTATAATAATTCTAAATTCTATAATTCTATAATTCTATCTCTATCTGTATATCTATTAATGACCCTGCAATTCTTTGCTTTGGGATGGGGTCGGGGCAACTGACTGGAGCTGGATGCCCTTCCTGACACCTACCTGGAGTTCACAGCAGACAATTACTCATTGTGCCCAGAGAGAGAAATATCTGCTTTTATCTATCATCAAAGGCTCCTGATTGGGAGGTGAGAGCTCCACCACTAGGCGATCATGCTGCTCTTTTGAAAACTAAATAATGAATGTTTAATTTATGAAATAACAATGTTGTCAGCACTCCAAACTACATTCGTTCCAGTGCTGACATAAGGAGGAGAAGAGGGGGCAGCTGGCAAGGGACGCTTGACTTTTCACCTACTTATTTTCATTAAGTTGTGTTGGCTACAATATGATCGGGGACAGATTGTCGTGCTTAATAAATGAAAGATTTCATCAAAGACTATTTGTTTGGAAAATGCAATTTATTTTGAGACGACACTGAAACCTGACAAATGTGTTGAAGAAAAATATACAGTGAAACTGATAACCTACCAGTTTGATTAGAAATCTTTCCTTCTGGGCATGGAACACAGTCATAGCAACAGAACTGACTGCCTTCAACCCCTCTCTTCCAGTATCCAGGGGAGCAATGGTCATTACACTGAGAAAATGGAATAACCTGGTAGTAAACATAAAAGATTTTGGAAAGGAAAAACTTTAAGCAGTTCATAATGTTCTCATTTATGGAAGCGGGAAGAATATTTGAATTCCTAAAAGTGTATTATAAAGGTTTCCCTCTCCAGTTACGTCTGACTCTCGGGCACAGTGCTCATCTCCATTTTTTTTGGCCAAGGGATCCAACATTGTCTGAAGATATTTTCCATGGTCATGTGGCCAGCATGGCTATATGCCAAAGGCACAAGGAACATTGTTACCTTCCCACCAAAGTGGTACCTATTAATCTACTCACATTTGCATGCTTTTGAATTCCTAGGTGGGCGGGAGCTGAGGCAGGAATGGGAGCTCAAACTATTGCATGGCGCTCAGGTCACAAACCCGTCAGTGTCTGTAACCACTGAGCCATTGCATATTTATACTATCCATTAAAATGTTGACATTATAAGGATGCGCAAAGGGCATGTTTGGAGAATGGCAGGGTGAATAAAGAAATATATGTGATTACAGTATTATGGAAACAATGTGACTCCTGTGATTTCAAATGGAAATGCAACTCAACTATGAATACCTGTCTTTTAAATTGTAATGTCATTTTATCAATTTGATGATCATCGACAATGTTTCTACAGAAGATAGCATTTCAAAAATCACACATGAGATTTGTAAAGAGATTGCGTTCAATATTGGATCATAATGGATCAAGGAGGAGTTGATCAAACAAGAGCACACCTGGTTAAAAGCGGGGTGCCACACAATCAGCTCTTCATCAATGATTAATTCCTTCACGTTGGGAATATGAGGATCCATCTTTCCAACTCTAACTCTCTGAAAGGATCTATTTGGAAAAGTGATCAAGTTGGTGATGTCAAATCCACCTGTTGCTTCCCCTTTCTGATTTAGGAACACTCTCTCCCCAGCTGAATTGTTGAAAGAAATGCCTTGAAGAAACGAATGGAGCTACTTGAAAGAGAATGAATGAGAGAGAGAGAGGGAGGGAGGGAGGGGGAGATGTAGAGGGAGAGGGAGATGGAGTGGAGGAGAGGGAGAGGGAGTTTGAAGGATAATAATGAAAAAGTGGCCAGTATATTTAAATTTCACTTATTCATTCTTCCCATTGTTCTAACAAGTGTGAAATAAGTACACTTAGAATATAGATAATCTATATATCAGAGAAAGACACAGAACTGTTCTAGTATTAATTTAATGTTACTTCCAGGGGGGAAAAGCAAAACAACAGCAGTTAACAAATCAAAATCAAAACAAGGTATTGACATTACACAACTTGGTTCAGACATGATTTATATTCAGTATCTAAACAAACATGACAATCAAATTTGGACCATACCTAAACCCATCCCACAAAAGAGCCTTGGTAGTACAGGAGTTTAAGGCAGCCTGTTATTAAGCTTATTAAGACCAGCTGCCTGCAATTACTGCAGGGTTCGAATCTCGCCAAGGCTCAAGGTTGACTCAGCCTTCCATCCTTTCTAAGGTAGGTGAAATGAGGACCCAGTTTGTGGGGGCAATAAGCTGACTTTGTATAAATATACAAAAGGATGAAGGCTATTGCTGAGCACATTGTAAGCCGCCCTGAGTCTTCGGAGAAGGGCGGCATATAAATCAAATTAAAAAAAAAATTGTTTGTTCTTCATTAGTACAAGGGTGTTTGAGATCCTGAGACCTGGCAAATTTCAATTAGCCAGATTTTATCATCTGATACTCAATTGTTTTGAGAGAGAGAGATTGCGACAATTATATAAATGTGTGTGTGTGTATGTGTGTGTGTGTGTGTGTGTATAATTAAGACTCCATCATCCAGCATGACGACAGCAAAACAACACAGCTAATTACAAGTGGGAGATGGCTGGACACGCTACACACACAATGGCCAAATTGATTAATGGCATATAAAGGCAGAGATCTCTGTAATAGTAGTTTAATACTCTGACAATATCAGCAGATAGCTGACGAAAGCTAAGTAAAATAAAATTCTAATTATTTTAAAATTTTCAAATATTAAGTTCTGGAGGTCACAGGATGTCACTATCCTAGGCTTCTTCAGAAAGACAGCATGCATTTTGCTGAATATTGGGAGACTAAGCATTTTACAGCATTTGCCCCCAACAATCTCGGTCTTGATTTTACAATTCTCAGAAGGATGGAAGATTGAGTCAAATCTTGAGCCAGTAGGAATCAGCTGCCGAACTGATGGCAACTAGCAGCCAGTACAAGGAGCCTGCAGTACTGCTTTCTAACCACTGTGCCACCATGGCTCTGCTGAGAATCATTATTCACAAGCTAATAAGAAAAGTGAAATGTCTACATTTCAGAAAATTTGTGGGGGGCGGGGCACAGAAAGAAAGACTGCCTTCAGACACAATGCAATTGAATTCTCCTTATAAATCAGTTGGATAAATTCACAAGGCAGGCCAATTCTATGTGGAGGTGAAAAGTTATATATACAATGAAAATTGATGCATTAATTCCCATTGACTATCCTGGAATTAGTAAAGACTTGGTTTCTGTTCATCCTCTAACTTTAAAAAACTAATAGCTTTCTTGCCTCAGTCTCTCTCTTGAGTTGTAGCCATAGACCAGGGTAAATAAGCTATATTAGATTGTGGATGATTGTGGATAATCATTGAAATACACGATAGATGTGGCATGGAACAATTACCTGCCAAGACAGCAGAATTGGTAATTCAACCCTTTGAATCTCTCTTGGTTGGGATTTTGATCTCAGTGCCTCATGCAAAGAATGTGCCACTGCATAAACAGCATTATAGATACTGTAGCTTTCGCCAGTCATCTGAAATTCAAACAGAGGTGCAGGCAGATTCTCCAAATTCTCTTCCCCACTACAAGTTTCATTGATCAATGAAGATAAGTCTGCCTTTGAAAAAAGACAGTCAAACAATTGCTCCCAAACCTCTTGAAGAAATGCATCTTTGTGGGCTGAAGGTTTGATGACTTGAAGAAATTCTTTAAAGCCTTGAATGTCTCTTGAATGCACAGCAAAGGAAAGAGCCCCATGGAACAACTGGAGATCCCAACTCCTTTGAAATCCCAACAGGATGAAATCAATTGGATTCATCAGGATCCAAACCTTCCTAAATGATGCACTCTCTTTATTTTCAGGATCACGTAGAAACATGATAGTTCTGAGCCACACTATTGTGATGGATTCTCCGTGGAGAAGAAAAACATTCACTTTTTGATCTTTCAGTTTATCAGAAATAATTGAGATTGAATTAGACAATTTGGGCATGTCTTCCAAGTTGAGATATTGTGGAATTTTTTGTGCGAAAGCTAAACAGACCCCGTTCTGTGAAAGCAATGGCTGCAGTTTCTGAAAAAAACGTACTTCCTTATTTTCAAAAGCAAAGACTCCAATCCACGTCCATCCAAAATGGAGAAGAAGTTGTATAAGTCCAGTGTACTGATGCTCCTCTTTTGGGACCATGTAATAAAGTGGAAATAACTCAGTAATCTGAAAGTCTTCTTGGGCAAAGGAACCATAAGTCAACTAAAGAAACGAAAAAGAGAAATACCGTTATTCATGGGAAAAATATGAAGAGTCCTTGTTAGAAACTTAATAATGAACATTTGTCCAATTCTATGTCGATTATGACAATTTGATGAAAAAGAGAAGAAACTAAAATTCCTTGATGAAATATTTTCTCATCTGAAATTTAACTAGATTACAACCATACTGTTTCCTAATACAGAGTTCCAGTATGTTCATCCCCTTAGAACATCTGGAAGCTTGCTAAATATCTGAGCTTGTGAACTCTTCTCAGCCTAAGGAAAGGATTCTGAAGAGCTAGACTTAATGGATTACCTTCTTGCCTTATTTGTAACAGATAAAAAAAAATACTTATATATGGAAGACTATGCCCATGACATTCCGGAGGAATAGAAAGAGTTAATCATCTCTTCATTTACTACAATTATTATGGAGATCTCCAAAAAGTACCACACAGCCTCAATCCTTCAACCATTTCCATGCAAATCAGTTGAGTGTTAAATTCAATTATTACTATCAGACCCAACCAAAATATACCAAGGGGATTTGTCACCTACTGTTGGGTAGCTTGATGGAATCTAGAGGTGAGTTGAGGCATCAGAGGCTCCTACAAAGATGGGGTGTGTGTGTCAAATTATTTTCCAAAGCATTAGAAGGCAACATGAGAAACACTGGATGGAAACTAACCAAGGAAAGAAGAAACCTAGAACTAAGGAGAAATGTCCTAACTGTAAAAACAATCAACCAATGGAAGAACTTAACTTCAGAAGTTGTGGGTGATTCATCACTGGAGGCTTACAAAAATAGACTGGACAGTGATTTATCAGAAACGGTATAGGGTTTCCTGCTCAAAGAGAGGGTTGAACTAGAATACCCCAAAAAAATCTTTCCACTCTATTATTCTATGTTTTGTGTTCTATGTGTTAGCCGGCCTTTTCTATCCTCCTCTTGACACAGCTCCAGATTTCATCACAGATAGTGGTCAAATCATCAGGTTACCCTCTCAATTAAGATACACTTTGTACTGTAATTTATGATTTAAATTTAAATTTTCTAATCTATCATTGTAATAAAAGATTTAGATTCTCTTGACTGATTATTTTGAGCCAACATTTTGAGTTGTGGGAACAATTGCAGAAGGGAGAGCAAAGAGAGCAAAATTGAACTCCTGCAGAAAGGCATGGCAAAATACTAACTGACCCTATAACACCAATCAGTCAACAATTGCTAAGAAAAACAGCTGAGTTTTATACTAAACTACTTTTATCCTACACCAAGCAAATTGTAGTAAGAAGAGTTGTAACCTATTGCTGCATGGAAGTCAAAACAAATGCATGATTGTAATGAAAGATTTTGATTTAATTGGATTACCTTGAGCCAGTCTATTGAGTTGTGGGAAAAACAGATGAGGGGTGATAAAAAGTGTATTTAATTGAATTTCTGGAGAAAGGTATGGCAAGCAACTAGTATCTACTATCAATTACAAAAGACTTTTCTGTCTTACTCCACCCCAAACTACCTGTGGAATTTTGTAGACATGTACACTTTCTGCCATAAAGGATGATGTATCAGGACTTAGTCCCCCAATGATGGCCATGAGATTCTTCTGGCTATCACATTTGTAGTTAGGGAGAAATTGCTGTGATTTGAAAAGCAGGTCCAGGGTGGTGCGATAGGTCATCCTTGGGTTGTAGTAACTGTCACAGATGTGGAACCCGAGAGTGATGTTAGGTAAGATCTGGGAGTCCTCATTGATCTCCTTCACTGCAAAGGCCAAGGCGAGGGCATGCTGGTAGAATTTGGTTATTACACTGCAAATAGGTTAAACACCCCCATTGACCAAAATAAGTTGACAATTCTTTTATGGTGAAAGCATTGTTATATGAGTAACAACCATTTCTGTCTAAGTTGTCAGTGAGAAGATGAGAATCTTTGTAAAACACTCAAAAATTTGTGTAGTTTTCAACCACATATAGTATTTCCATGATTTGCAACAAATATGTATAGAACAAAGTTGTGATTATTTTTTTCAAGCTATGACATGTATTTCTATCAGTTTGGCGCAAAATAGAATTTAGCTAGGAAGTATCACTCTTTTAATCTATGTAAATTATGCAAGGAGTGACTGCATAGACTAGATAATGATACTCCCTAAATGTTCTCCAAAAGACTTCCTGCAGAATAGTTTCAGACATTTCATGATTAAAATTTTAATACAATGAAAATGATTTGTTTTCCCACAATCAGATAATTTCGAAAGACAAGGAAGCAAGAGTAAGTTTATATTTTAAAAAAAACATGCATTTATTCTCAAAGAGCTATTAGTTATGTAAGCTATTTTGGGAGTCTGGCTAAGTTTAGAAAATGAATGGAAAGAAAAAGAAATCCTTACATTGGTAAATCATAACGTTTTAGAGGTGGCTGCTTTTTAAATTCAATTCCAAAAAGGTTGTGAATTATCTGAGACAACATCCCACCCACGATGAAGTCACCAGGCTGGTACCATTCATGGGGAATTGGGAAAGCATCAGTCGCAGGGCAGCTCAAAGTAACTGCTTTCTGCACCAAGAGCATCAGAAGGAACAACATCTTCAGGCATTTGTCATAGGGAAAATATTTGTGTCTCCTGTCCATAAGGAAGTTTGTATTTCAGTGGTTCATTCAATGATTGAGCCAAGGTTGATATCTGACAATGCACCTAATCAGAAATCCCATCAATTTCTATTTGAAGTTCCTTGTGTGTGCAAATTTTATACTACCTATCACTAGGATTGAACAGATGTTCTGGAAAAGAAGAAAGGAGGGAGGCAACCTGTAGCAATGAATCTGACAGAGCCATTATTATCCTTTTGTGCCAAACTCCCTGGGGTTCAAGATTTACTTTATAACCAGATTGATACCTTAATTGTTGCTGAATTTAAATACCTCGATGCATAGTCCTTGATGTTTTGGACTAGCTAAAAAAAAAAACCGCGATTCCTGCAGGAGATAATTATTTTGTTTTTGGTGAGGCAATAAGTGGTTCCAGTGATGGTTCAATTTTTTTTTTTCAAATGAGCAAATGGTAATAAAAGTAATCTAGGGGACATTGGCAATTAAAAACAGCCTCAAGTGTTGAAATTCATGTTCATTCCTTACAATGGAACAGGGTTTCCATTTTCCATATAAAATGAATATATTTGCTTAGTAGAGAAGAGGAAATTTGTCAGATCTCTTAAGGTCAGACAAATAAGCCAATAATTTCTCTGGAGGTTTTGTCCAAATTTTCAGTCAAAGAATGTTGAAGCATGAAACGATAATAACATTAATACTGTTGGAAGAATTGTCCACCTGGGTGCAGTTCCAAGTGGGGAAAAAGACACTGGAAACATGGAGGCTGATTGGAAAGATGGTTTATTGATGTACAGGACCACATGGGTTTGAGGTCCTGGGCAGCTGACCCCATGGAGTTGAGAATGGGAGTTATTTATTACCCTCTCTGGGATTTGAAGTTGAGCGTCCTGTTCCTGTGCAAGAGCATGTATTCTATTGGCTGTTGTAGGGGTCATGGCTACATGTAGGGGTGTTGATGCAATGAAGGGGCTTGTTGGGCAATTCCTATTCTGGCTGAGAACTAATTCTACCTTCGTTCAGAATACCCTGTCTTCAGGGCCGGATTTTCCTATAGGCTAACTAGGCTTCAGCCTAGGGCCTCAAGATCCAGAGGGGCCTACACAGTGTGGGATTCTGGGGGTTCTAGGTGGCTCGGCCGAACCCTTTGTTAAATTGCTGGCTCCCCCGCCCCTCCGCACCACTATTTATTGCTAATAAATAGTGGTGGGCGAGGGGCGGGGGAGCCAGCAATTTAACAAAGGGTTCGGTGTTTTTTTTTTGTAATTTTATTGGCCCCCGGAGCTTCAGCAGAGGCTAATTGGCCTCCCGGCTCTCAGCTGATTTGTGTCCGCTGTTTTGCTCAGGGCTTTTCTGCTTCCGTGCAAAGAAACGAAACTGAAACTGCTTTGCTGTTGCTGCAAGGTTGGAAAATTAGGCAGGCAGAATTCTTTTCTTTTTCCTCACCAAAAAAGGTACGTGCAAACAATGGGAATTTTAGGGAAAAAGAGAAGAGTTCAGGATTTTAAAACACAAAAGAAAAAAAAGCTGTATTTAACTAGGGAATTGTAATAATTGAGATACTATTAATTGTATATTTCTGAAAGCAGAAATGGTTAAGTTGTGGTTTGGAGGAATATATGGGGGAAATTATTTGGTTTATTATTATTGGTAAATATAATTAATGGATTTGTAAGAAATTGGATTGCATGGAAATAATTGGAATATTCATGTTCATATTGATTAATATACAAAAAAGGTAGTTATATAACTAATTGATTTATATTAAAATGTTGAATTTATATTAAACAACTAATATTACATAATTAACCAATGTGAGGATGGATATAAAAATAGATGACAATGGGAAGGGGTATAATATAGAATAGAAGGGAAAAATTGAATTTGATTAAGATTAGAGATGAGGATGAGGGTAATATTGGTTTTTCACAAAAATAGATGAGGAATAAATATGGCAAAAAGGAAATATAGAAATTGTAAATTTAATTGAAATGACTAAACACTGTTTAAATTTGTGAACCGGCCAAATACTCTGTTCAAAGAAAATACATTGTATGTTTGTATGTGTGTTTCTAATTATTGTTATTTATTCATATTTGTTCTCTTTTATTCTTTAAAGTTTAACAATTCATTCTTTATCTTAATATCTTTATATTTGTTTGGGGTTGGCTTTCTTCCCTTTCATCTTTTTTATTGTATAGCAATCTTTCTCCTCAAACCTACCACCTCTCTTTTCTTTCCTTCTTACTTTCTCTTCCTCCCCCTCTTCTTCTCCTCCCTACTTCCTCTTCCTTTCTCCTTCTCCTCCTCTCTTCCTCCCTCTCTCTCCTACTCTAATTTCCCTTCCCTTCCTTCATCCCTCTCTATTGCTGTATCCTTTTATGCATATGGACTACTCAGAGGGCTGAAAAAGTTATTTCTGACTGGTCCTTGCACTTTTGACCAGTCCTCGAACTTACGACTGTCCTCACATTTTACGTTTTTGCCCTATCTTGTCACCATGGTGAAGAAAAGCAGTTGTGAAATGAGTGACATGGTTGTTAAGAAAGCTGCACGGGCATAAATGTGAGGATGGTCATAAGTGTGAGGACCGGTCAAAAGTGCGAGGCCCAGTCAGAAATGACTTTTTTCAGCCCTCTGAAAAAAGTCTATGCACATAGCCACGCCCACCCGGTCACATGACGAGCTACCCACGCCTACACAGTCACGTGACCAGCTAGCCACGCCCACCCAGTCACATGATTGCCAAGCCACACCCCCAACTAAGCCACGCCCACATAACCTGTTGTTAAAAAATTGAATCCCACCACTGGTGAAAGGGCCTCATAAGTGGAATAGCCTAGGGCCTCTTTCAATCTAAATCCGGCCCTGCCTGTCTTGAATGGATTACCAAATCTGCATTTTTAAAAGTTGGCCCCTTAGTTTCTTCTTGGGGCTTCGAGTTTCTGCCTTGACAGTGTGCAAAAATCCAGGACACGTGAAATCATCATTAGTTAAAGTCATTCTGTAACAAGTATTTAAAAGAATCAAAAGTTATAAACCTAAAACAGGGAACGATCAAATCAAGTCAAGTCACTCTTTATGATGCTTATTGGCCAGCATATGCTTCTAGTAAAGGATGAGATGGAAGGAATTTCCCTTCACTAATTCTTTTTGTATTATTAACAGAATAGGTTACAGTGGAAATAGGTAGATGAATGGAGAGTGAGCATGATTAAAACAACAACAACATACAGTAGAAACTCAATAACATTCACATTTCAATGATCCCACACCTATCCAAAAAGGATATCCCCCTGATACTGTGTTGAGTACATTTTCATAAAATGTAATTCCCTTTTTACTACATTTATGGAGTCATTTATGAATAGAAAATACAAAAACCATAAAAAAGGCATGGTCCCATTCCCTAAGGAGGTACATTTGGCGGGACACAGAAGAAGGACCTTCTCCATGGTGGCTTCCACCCTCTGGAACATGATATGATATGATATGATATGATATGATATGATATGATATGGTACATGATATGATATAATATGGTGTGATATGATATGATAGATATCATAGGATAGGATAGGATAGGATAGATATGATAGCAGTTTTCCAATATCTAAGAAGTTGCCACAAAGAAGAGGGGGTCAATCTATTCTCCAAAGCATTTGAAGGCAGGAAGAAGCAATTTTCCCTACAAAAGGAAAAAGGTGTGTGAGAGAGAGTGGCTGGCTCAAAGTTAGCCAGTAGGCTTTCATGGCTAAGGTGGGACTTGAACTCATAGCCTTCCATTTTCTAACCTGGTGCCTAAATCACTAGATCAAACTGACTCTCATATCTAAAGCTGGCTCTCAAATAAAATATTTCACTTTGAGTGAAAGCAGCAATCTTTTTTGAGAAGGGAACTCCAAAGCCACAAACCAGCGTAGAAAATATTGTGGTGGCTGAGTGTGACTTTCACAGTTTCCATGGCTCTGTTTACTATCATATCATATCATATCATATCATATACCATATCATATTTACCATACACTAAGTAGGAGGAGGAAGGTATGTTAGCTATCTTCTCTGCCTTGAGTTATTTCTAAAAATAATACAACTCAGGACACAAATAAGTAAATAAATAACTAAAGATTTTCATTCCACAAAATTCTTTGAATGAAAATGTGGATAACGCCTCCAAAGAAATGTTTGGCTTTTTTGTCAGACCTTAACATGTAAAAAATGTTTCCTCTTCTCTACTGAACAATTCTATTCATTTTATATGGAAAATGGGAACTCTGCTCTACAGTGGTAAGGAATGAACATGACCTTCAACACTTAAGGCTATTTTCAATTGCCAATGTCCCTTCGATTAATTTTATTAGCATTTGTTCATTTAAACACAGTTGAACCATCAGTTGAACTCCTTATTCTCTCACAAAAACAAAATAATTATCTCCTACAGGAATCGCCGTATTTTTTTTAGCTAGGCCAAAACATCAAGGACTGTGCATCAAGGTATTTAAATTCAGCAACAATTAAGGTATCAATCTGGTTATAAAGTAAATCTTGAACCCCAGGGAGTTTGGCACAAAGGGATAATTATGGCTCCATCAGATTCATTGCTACAAGTTTCCTCCCCCCTTTCTTCTTTTCCAGGACATCTGTTCAATCCTAGTCATAGTCAGTATAGAAATTTGCACACAAATAGAAAATGATGGGATTTCTGATTAGGTGCATTGTCAGATATCAACCTTGGCTCAATCATTGAATGAACCACTGAAATACAAACTTCCTTATGGACAGGAGACACAAATATTTTCACTATGACAAACGCCTGAAGATGTTGTTCCTTCTGATGCTCTTGGTGCAGAAAGCTGTTACTCTGAGCTGCCCTGCGACTGATGCTTTCCCGATTCCTCATGAGTGGTACCAGCCTGGTGATCTCATCGTGGGTGGGATGGTGTCTCAGATAATTCATACCTTTTTTGAAATTGAATTTAAAGAACATCCTTCTCTAATACCTTATGAGTTACCACTGTAAGGATTTTTTCTCTTTCCATTTATTTTCTAATTTTATTGTTTATATGACTAATAGCTCTTTGAGAATAAATGCATGGTTATTTATATCAACTTACTCTTGCTTCAGAGTTATCAGATTGTGGGAAAACAAGTCATTTTCATTGTGTTAAAATCTTAATCACGAAATGTATGAAACTGTTCTGCAAGAAGTTCCTTTGGAGAACATTTAGGGAGTATAATTATCTAGTCTAAGCAGTCACTCCTTGCATAACTTACATGTATTAATAATCATTTTCTTTTCACTGTATTAAGTCTAAAAATAAGTCTTTTGGAGAACATTTATGGAGTGTAAAATCATTAAAAGTATCTAGTCTGTGCAGTCACTCCTTGCATAACTTACATTTATTAAAAGAGTGATACTTGCTGGTTGTATTCGATTTTGTGCCAAACTGATAGAAATAAATGTGAGAGCTTGAAAAAAAAATCACAACATTGTTCTCTACTTATTTGTGGCAAATCATGGAAACACTGTACATAGTTGAAAACTATACAAATTATTGAGTGTTTCTACAAAGACTCTCATCTTCTCACTTACAAAAGAGACAGAAGTGGTTATTACTTATATATTAATGGTTTCACCATAAAAGAATTGTCAACTTATTTTGTTTAAACTATTTGCAGTGTAATAACCAAATTCTACCAGCATGCCCTCACCTTTGCCTTTGCTGTGAAGGAGATCAATGAGGACTCCCAGATCTTACCTAACATCACTCTTGGGTTCCACATCTATGACAGTTACAACAACCCAAGGATGACCTATCACACCACTCTGGACCTGCTTTTCAAATCCCAGGAATTTGTCCCAAACTACAAATGTGATAGCCAGAAGAATCTCATGGCCATCATTGGGGGACTAAGTCCTGATACATCATCCTTTATGGCAGAAAGTATACATGTCTACAAAATTCCACAGGTAGTTTGGTGTGGAGTGAGAGAGGAAGTCTTTTGTAATTAATAGTAGATGCTAGTTGTTTGCCATACCTTTCTCCAGAAATTCAATTAAATACACTATTATCACCCCTCATCTGTTTTCCCCACAACTCAATAGACTGGCTCAAGGTAATCCAATGAAATCAAAACCTTTTATTACAATCATAGAGGTGTTTTGACAGCCAACCAGCAATAGGCTGCAACTCTACTTAGTTAATTTTGCTTTGTGTACGATAAAAATAGTTTAGTGTAAAACTAAACTGTTTTTCTTAGCAATTGTTGACAGATTGGTGCTGTAGGGTTAGTTAGTATTTTGCCATTCCTTTCTGCAGGACTTCAATTTTGCTCTCTTTGCTCTCCCTTCTGCAATTGTTCCCACAACTCAAAATGTTGGCTCAAAATAATCAGTCAAGAAAATCTAAATCTTTTATTACAATCATAGATTAGAAAATTTAAATTTAAATCATAAATTACAGTACAAAATTTATCTTATTTGAGAGGGTCACCTATGATTTGACCACTATCTGTGGTGGAATCTGGAGCTGTGTCAAGAGGAGGATAGAAAAGGCCGGCTAGCACGTAGAACACAGAACACAGAACATAGAATAATAGAGTGGGAAGGTTTCTTGGGGGTATTCTAGTCCAACCCCCTCTTCGAGCAGGAGATCCTATACCATTTCATATAAATCACTGCCAGTCTCTTTTTGAAAGCCTCCAGTGATGGAGCACCCACAATGTCTGAAGGCAAGTTGCTCCATTGGTTAATTGCTTTCACAGTTAGGAAATTTCTCCTTAGTTCTAGGTTGCTTCTCTCCTTGATTAGTTTCCATTCATTGTTTCTTGTCTTGCCTTCTGGTGCTTTGCACAATAGTTTGACCACCTCATCTTTGTAGGAGCCCCTCAAATATGGGAACACTGCTATCATATCTCATGGTTTTAGGGAAGATCACCTTTCAGCCACTTCCTGCCCATTCCCAACTCAAAGCTAGCCAGCATTTTCACTGCTGCCCTCAACTCAGCACCAGATTCCACCAAGCCACCTGATAATAGATCACAACTCTCTTTGGTATGTCTTGGTTGGGTCTGTTAGTAATAACTGAATTTAAAACTCATCTGATTTTCCTTGAAATTGTTGAAGGATTGGGCCTACGTGGTACTTTTGGAGATCTCTGTAATAATTGCAGTAAATGAAGACATAATTAACCCAGAATCTCATGAGCATAGTCTTTCATCTATAAGTATTTTATTTTATCTGCTACAAATAATGGAAGAAGGTAATCCAGTAAGTCTAGCTCTTCTTTGTAGAAGCCCCTCAAATGTTGCACTATTGCTGTCATGCCTCCCCTAGTCCTTCTTTTTATCACACTAGAAATACCCAATTCCTGTAACTGAATTCTTTTGGATATCTCTATAATAATTGTAGTAAAGGAAGACATGATTAATCCTTTCTATTCCTCCAGAATCTCATGGGCATAGTCTTTCGTGTACAAGTATTTTACTTTATCTGCTACAAAGAAGGGAAGAAGGTAGTCCAGTAAGTCTAGCTCTTAAAAATCTTTTCCTTAGGCTGAGAAAAGTTCACAAGCTCAGATATTTAGCAATTTTCCAGATGTTCTAAAAGGATGAACATACTGGAACTTTGTATTAGGAAACTGAGTGTGGTTGTAATCTAGTTATATTTCAGATGAGAAAATATTTCATTTTGGGATTTTAGTTGCTTCTCTTTTTCATCAGAATTCTCATAATCTACACTGAATTGGACAAATGTTCAATATAGGGAGACCTTCATTAAATTTCAAACAAGCAGTCTTCACATTTGTCCCATGATTTTCATGAAGAACGAATTTCTCTTTTTTGTATCTTTAGTTGACTTATGGTTCCTTTGCCCAAGAAGACTTTCAGATTACTGAGTTATTTCCACTTTATTGCATGGTCCCAAAAGAGGAGCAACAGTACACTGGATTTATTCAACTTCTTCTCCATTTTGGATGGACGTGGATTGGACTCTTTGCTTCCGAAAATAAAGAAGAATGTTTTTTGCAGAAACTGCAGCCGTTGCTTTCTCAGCACAGAGTCTGTTTAGCTTTCACACAAAAAATTCCACAACATATCCACTTGGAAGATTTGTCCCAATTGTTAGATTCAATATCAATTATTTCTGATAAATTGATAGATCCAAAAGCAAATGCTTTTCTGGTCTATGGAGAAACATTGACAATAGTGTGGCTCAGAAGTGTCATGTTTCTACGTGATCCTGAAAATAAAGAGTGTTCATTATGTAAGAAGGTTTGGATCCTGATGAATCCAATTGATTTCATTCTGCTGGGAACTCAAAGGAGTTGGGCTCTCCAGATGTTCCATGGGGCTCTTTCCTTTACTGTGCATACAAGAGACATTCACGGCTTCAAAGAATTTCTTCAAGTCATCAAACCTTCAACCCACAAAGATGCATTTCTTCAAGAGGTTTGGGAGCAATTGTTCAATTGTTCATTTTCAAATACAGAATTATCTTCAACGATGAATGAAACCTGTAGTGGAGAAGAGAATTTGGAGAATCTACCTACACCTCTGTTTGAATTTCAGATGACTGGCCAAACCTACAGTATCTACAATGCTGTTTATGCAGTGGCACATTCTTTGCATGAGGCAGTGAGATCAAAATCCCAACCAAGAGAGATTCAAAGGGTTGAATTTCCAAATCTGCTGCCTTGGCAGGTAATCTTTCCACACCTATCATGTATTTCAATGATTATCCACAATCATCCACAATCTAATATAGCTTATTTACCCTGGTCTATGGCTACAACTCAATAGAGAAACTGAGGCAACAAAGCTATTCCTTTTATAAAATAAGAGGATGAACATAAACTGTGTCCTTACTAATTTCAGTATAGTTAATGGGATTTACTGTATGTATCAATTTTCATTGTATGAATAACTTTTCACCTCCACATAGAATTGGCCTGTCTTGTGAATATATCCAATCTGATTCCAAGAAGAATTCAATCGCATTGTGTCTGAAGGCAGTCTTTCTTCTTTTTGTGCCACCCTCCTCCCCATGAATATTTTCATGTCATGTAGACATATCATTTTTCTTATGAGATTGTGAATAATAATTCTCACCAGAGCCATGGTGGCACAGTGGTTAGAAAGCAGTACTGCAGCTAATTGTGCTGACTGTTGGTTGCCAGCAGTTCAGCAATTTGATTCCCACCGGCTCAAGTTTGATTCAACTTTCCATCCTTCTGAAGATGGTAAAATGAGGTGTCAGCAATATGTTGACTATGTAAACTGCTTAGAGAGGGTTGTGAAGAAGGCACAGAAGAAGCTGTACTTCCTGAGAATGCTCAGGAAGAGAAATGTATCTCAGCATCTACTTCTGTCCTACTATCGCAGCACCATTGAGAGTGTCCTGAAATAGATTGGATAAATTATTAGAATCTAAAGAAGGGAAATTAATTTCAAAAATCTACTTATTTGAATATGATTTGGCAGAAGAATTAGTGAAAGGGCAGATGATAGCGTGGGCGAGAAACATTGGGCATAGCATACAGCTAGAAGAGTGGGAAAGAGTGTGGGAGACTAACTACAGCATGACAAAATCGGTAGCCTACAAAGAAAACCATTATAAGATGTGGTATCGATGGCATCTGGCCCCCGCGAGACTAGCGAAAATGTACCCAAATGTAGATCCGGCCTGTTGGAAGTGCAGAAAAACACAGGGAACCTTTTACCATGCTTGGTAGCTTTGCCCGATCATTAAGAAATACTGGAACAAGGTAAGAATATGGATAAGAGAAATTACAGATTGTGAAATTGATTTAGAACCAGAGATTTTTTTATTGGGCATGATCAAAAAGAACATCCGAAATGACATAAAATACCTAATACTTCATATAATCACGGCGGCAAGATTAGCGCTAGCACAATTTTGGAAAAGCGATCAACTGCCAACGGACCAGGAATTAATACAAAAAATATATACATGTGCAGAGATAGACAGACTAACTTTAGAGTTACAGGATAAGGAGGACTCTAAATATTATGAAACATGGAATAGATGGTACCAATGGATAAACCAGAGGAAAGGAAATGGGTAGAGATGAAATTTAGAAGAAATTAATATAACAAAAAACAGCACTGTCAGAGGTATAGAATATGGAATATTTTATTGTATGTTTGTATATATGTACATATAATACATATATTTATATAGAATAATGGAAATTAGTCAATTTTGTTTCTCAATTGAGAGAAACTTGTATGTTTTTAAACGTTTTTTCTTTTTAACAATAAAGTTTAATTTAAAAAAAAAAAAAAGAGAGAGAGTGTCCTGACATATGGCATTCTTGCATGGTATGGGAGCAGCTCTGTAGCAGACAAAAAAGCTCTACAGAGAATCATTAAAACTGCCCAGAATATCAATGGACTCCAGCTACCAGCCCTGGACAACATCTTCAAATCTCGCTGTTTCAGAAAGTTGCAAAACATTCTCAGAGACTCTTCCCATCCTGCTTACAATCTTTTTGGACTGTTGCCTTCTGGCGGAAGATACAGAACAATTAAAACTTGTACCACTTGTTTTCTGAATAGTTTTTATCCCACAGCTATAATTGCACTCAACAATGAACTAAAGGGCAACCATCAGTGAGCTGTTGGACAGTATTACTTCATCTGTTGTGTGGATGTTTGGGTGGTTTAGGGGTTGGGAATTGTGCTGGGTGGGAGTGTGTTTGGAGATTGTTATGTGTGTTGGACCTGGTCTTTGGGTGTTAAGTGAATGGGTGTACCGTGTATACACGTACAGTGACAATAAAGTTATTTATTTATTATTGTAAAGCACAGTGATGTGGTATAAGTGTCCCAAAGATGCTTTTTCAAGAGGCAACTGGACTTTCTGGATTTTCTTTGGAGACGTTTCACTTCTCATCCAAGAAACTTCTTCAGCTCTGATTGAATGGTGGGGAATGGAAGGATTTATACTCCTTGCAGACAAGTGGTCATTTGCATTCTTTTAGCGAGTCGTTAAGGTCACCTGGAGGTTTATCTGAGTCATCAGGATTACCTGTGTGGTACAAATGGGTGTGCTTTCTTCTTGGAACTGTTGAAAGGACTCTGTTGTAGATGGGAGATAGATGATGTTGTATCCGTCCTGTTTCCCCTGGAAGTAACATTAAAGTAATACTAGAACAGACCTGTGTCTTACTAGAACATACCTGTGTCTTTCTCTGAAATATAGATTATCTATATTCTACGTGTACTTATTTGATATTTGTTAGAGCAATGGGAAAAATGAGTAAGTAAAAGTTTAATATATTGGCCACTTCTTCATTATTATCCTTCCAACTAACTCTCTCTCTCTCTCTCATTCTATCTATCTATCTATCTATCTCTTCCATTCTCTTTCAAGTAGCTCCATTCATTTCTTCAAGGCATTTCTTTTAACAATTCAGCTGGGGACAGAGTGTTCCTGAATGAGAAAGGGGAAGCAACAGGTGGTTTCGACATCACCAACTTGATCACTTTTCCAAACGGATCCTTTCAGAGAGTTAGAGTTGGAAAGATGGGTCCTCATATTCCCAATACGAAGGAATTAATCATTGATGAAGAACTGATTGTGTGGCACCCAGCTTTTAACCAGGTGTGGACTCAGTATTATTTGATACTATTTTACTCTTTGTATTAAGATATAAACCTTTATTATGAAATTATTCAATATTTCAATGTATCATTCTAATGCCAATTACAACATTGTTTAAGCATGCATAATAATACTCTCTTTCAACCTCTAATCTTGCCATTTAATTCTTTAATTTATTCTATTTAATCAGGCCAATCTTACTAATCCTAGTATAGTACACATATTGTATTAAAATCTAATCCCCTTACTCCATCCTGACAACAATCACCATATTATTTATACATACATATTAAATCCATCTTTCAACCTCTAATCTTCTGCCCATTTATTCATTTTATAACACATGTATTTTTATTTCTACTTCTACTTCTATTATAAGAAGTATCAGAAGAAAAAGAGCCTTGGTGGAGCAGTGGACTAAAGTGCTGTTAAAGTAGCACTTAGCTGCCAGCTGTCTGCAATTACTGCAGGTTCGAATCTCGCCAGGCTCAAGGTTGACTCAGCCTTCCGTCCTTCCGAGGTAGGTAAAATGAGGAGCCGGATTGTGGGGCAATAAGGTGACTTTGTATAAAAAAGAACACCACTTAGGGAGGGCCAAAAGCCCTACTAAGCAGGTATATACAAAAGTATGAAGGTGATTGCTTAACGCATTGTAAGCCGCCCTGAGACTCCGGAGAAGGGCGGCATATAAATCAAACCAATAAATAAATAAATAAATAACTTTTAATCAGGCCCCCATTATATTAAAGAAAGAAGGGGGGAACAAAGGAACCCCTTTCCTTTCTATCCATCTCTTGCCCATTTTGATATTTCAATTCTTATTTGTTTTTTGACATACCTCCCATACTCCTCTCTTGGATCTTTGTCTCTATCTACCTCTGCATTTTTACTGTTTCGACTGTTTCTGTTTACTCTTTCTATATTCCTCCATCTCTATCCTCTTATGCTGCCAAGCCTCCAGGGTATTTGCCCAAACTCCTATCTCTTTTTCAATGGTATCTTCCCATTCCATTTTGAAATCTCTTAAAATACTTTTCCCCTGATTTGTTTCATTCATCATTATAGTCTTTATTATCTTCTCTTCTTGTTTTGCTTGTTGATTTATCTGTTCTGTCTTTTCCTCCATTCTTTCTCTTGTCTCCTCCCTCTCCTGGGCATCTTGGCCTTTATTCATTGTACCTTGTAGAATCTTTTCTATTTTCCCATCTATGCTTTGAATTAAATTGTTTATCTCCCTGAAGTTTTTTGTCATAGAGTCCTTAATGCTTTTGAACATCAACAATATTTTTTTTGAACTTCCACTCATTTCCCCCATATGAAGCATCTCATCTTATTTTAATAAGGTCCACTTTTACTCAATAGTTCAACAACCATATATTCAGGCCAAATGTTGCTCTTCAAAGAATACTTTAGTCACAGTTCTTTCATATCCCAGGGTTATTCATTCAGATGTTGAGGTAGTCCAGGGAACTCTCCAAATATCTCTTATGTCCCCTCTATAAGTTTAATCATATATCTTAACATTCAAAAATTGCTTTACTTAGGTATCTTCCTTGTTCTCACCATTGCACCGCCCATAGTCATAAGGTAGATAAGTATAGAACAGTAAATATCACCACAGTTTTCCAAATAAATGTTGTTTATTTTTCTAATCAAAAATTTTCCCAGGGTTGTAGAATATGGTATGTTTTCCTTTGTCAGTAGATGATGCTCTCAACAGGAGAGATTGTGACTCTCTGCGACCTTCAGGGTGCCCCTCTTTTCTTCACCACCCCTCCAGGCTGGCTTTCGTTCCTTTTGGAGCCCTTTAATGTGGAGAACTTGGTGTGGGAGCTCGGAGACCCACTTCTCATGTCCGATATCGCTGCGATATTCTTCTCGCTACCATGAAGGAGAATGTTATAAACTGCTTAAAAATTTCCCTTTACAAAATCATTTATCTTTATCTCCAGGTTATTCCATTTTCTCAGTGTAATGACCCTTGCTACCCTGGATACTGGAAGAAAGGATTGGAAGGAAAGCAATTCTGTTGCTACAACTGTGTTCCTTGCCCAGAAGGGAAGATTTCAAATGAAAAGGGTAGGTTAGACATTCCAGCAAATTTTCATTGAATAGACTTAAGCAAACTATAATACACTACTTTAGTGTAAACAAATATTCACAAGTATAGAAATATTCATTTCTATACTTGTGAATCACAATCTTTTGTTCTGAATATAAAGTTTTCCCATAAGATCTAAACTCTTATATACCCCCTCAGATTTCTTCTTTGTGATTTTTGAAAAATAGGAAAAGTCAAAATGCTCTAAATTTTAAGAAATTTAAAATGTTTCTAAAATATGAAATGTATAAACACTTGCCTTGCCTTTTCTTTCAGATATGGATGACTGTTTTGAATGTTCAGAAGATCATTATCCAAATAAAGAAAAGAAAGGCTGTATCTTGAAATTGCTGGTCTTTCTAACTTTTGAAGAAACTTTAGGAATTGGTTTATCCATAGCAATTCTTTGTTTCTTCTTCTTGACTTCTTGGGTACTTGGAACTTTTATTAAGCACAGGGATACTCCCATTGTCAAAGCCAACAACCGGTCCCTCACCTACACCATCCTTGTCTCTCTTTTGTTCTGTTTCCTCTCCTCTTTGTTCTTCCTCAGCCAACCTGACAAGGTGACCTGCCTTCTCCGACAACCAACTTTTGGCATCACCTTCTCAGTGGCCATTTCTAGTGTGCTGGCCAAAACCATCACTGTGGTTGTGGCTTTCATGGCCACTAAACCTGGATCACAGATGAGGAAGTGGGTGGGGAAAAGATTGGCTTTTTCTGTTGTTCTTTCCTGTTCTATTGTCCAAGTATGTATTTGTGTTCTTTGGTTGTCAACATCACCTCCATTCCCTGAGTTGGATATGCACTCAGAGCTCCAGGAAATGATTTTACAGTGCAATGAGGGATCAGCTTTCTTCTTCTACTGTGTCTTGGGCTACATGGGTATCTTGGCCATTGCCAGCTTTATTGTGGCTTTTCTTGCCCGTAAATTACCTGACAGCTTTAATGAAGCCAAATTCATCACTTTCAGCATGTTGGCCTTCTGCAGTGTGTGGATCTCCTTCTTTCCAGCCTATCTGAGCACAAAAGGCAAAGCCATGGTAGCTGTGGAGGTCTTCTCCATCTTGTCCTCCAGTGCTGCATTACTGGGATGCATATTCTTGCCAAAGTGCTACATCATTGTTCTCAGACCTGACCTCAACCACAGGGTGCATCTGATAAAGAGGAATTAGCACATTATGTAATATTTCTGCCTTTGAGAAATTGTTCACAAGAAAAAAGACAGAAGGATGTTTGCTATCCATAGGAGACATATAGAAGTCCTTAATTCTGACAACAGAGGATTGATGGAGGAATATCCCAAACACTAAGATTTATTATAGTTGCCAATTTGAAAAGAAATGTTCATGCTGCTGCATTTGCAATCATTCTCCAATATTCTTTAATTAAACAACTTCTGTCTTTCAACACCCCAAGATAGCAAGACATTGAGAATCCAGTTCTTGTGTTAGAAGATTAGAGATACTGAATCAAATCATGTCCAATATTTGCAGTTTCCTTATTTATTTATGTAGAAAATTTATACTGCTTAGTTGCTCACAGTGAATCTAGGCAACTTATCGTCAATAAAATGCAACATAGAAGATAATAAAGAACTATATCCCCCTCTGGCAACAAAACACAGTCAAATAAGTCTATAGATAGTCTCAGTCATTCATGTCATGGTTGTCCCAAAGGTGTTTTTTCATGAGGCAACTGGACTTTCTTTCTTTCTTCCTTATTTCTTTTGAAAACGTCTTCAAAAGAAAAAACAAGAAAGTCCAGTTGCCTCCTGAAAAAGCACCTTTGGGGCAGTGGTGAAATCTGAACTGGTTTACTACCAGTTCGCTGGCTGCGCATGAGCATTGTGCACCAAAGGTGTGCTGTGCGCGCGCATGCTCAGTGCTCACCATGCACCAAATGTGAGTGTGTGTGCGTGCACAGTGCATGCCAAAAGGAGGCATGGGGTAAGTAGAAGAGTGCGCAGGGAGTTGTGATCAGCTGTGGTGCATGATCTTCGGAGCCTTTTTTTTTACTTTTACTTTTTATTCGGCCGAATAGGTTGTAAAAAAATGCTTTTAAAAGTTTTTTTAAAAAAGTCTCTGGTGATCACATGCCACAGGTTTTATCATCTGAGCCTTTTGTTTTAGTTTTCTAAAGCATTTTTAGTACCGATTCTAGAGAACCGGTAGTAAAAAAATACTAGAAAAGTAAAAAAAAAAAAAAAAACTTCCAATGATCGCGCATCGCTCACATGATCTTTCGAACTTTTCTTTTTTTTTACATTTTTTACTACCAGTTCGGGCAAACCGGACCGATCCGGGAAAATTTCACCCCCGCTTTGGGGCAAGCATGACCTGGATAACTGAGAATCTCTACAAAATTTTAGCAATTTAGGATGAACACAGTTTGGAACAGTGTGAGAGTAGGAATGGATTTCTGAGCAAGCCGTTTACTCAACAAAGAAGAGCAGAGTAAACACCAGAGCGTTTACCAGGCAGATGGCAGCGCAACTAACACTCACCAGAGCCATACTGAAGACCACCCCAACTGGAAACGTGAGGACCATAGACTTGAGCACGCCATCGAGTTGTGAAGAACTGCGGGGAGAAGAAAATGCATCACGAAGAAATGATGACCTCAGGCAAGCCATACTTAAAATGATGGAAATGCCTGCATCTAATGAGGACCTCGTCGCGAACCTCCAGAGCCTACTTGAGAGCCGTGGAGCAGCGACCGAAGGACCGGAACCAACCCAAGAAGCCACCACTGCGGTAACAGAAGAGCCACCCCAACCCGGCACACCAGAAGCAGCCAAATCCATTTTCACGCCCTTTTCGTGATGGCCATCTTGGAATGGCCAACAGCCAATGGGAGGCCTGAATTACAACCTCTTGGCACGAACTAGCCCCGAATCCGAAAAAAATAAGGGAGCACCCAAAAATAACGAAGAAAAACAAAAACTAGTTGCCAGGAGCTCCCCTACCGAGCTCGAAATAGAAAGGGGCATCGAGACCCTCGCGGCGGCATTCGGCCCCTCTTACAAGCCACCCAGCCTTCCTCCTGGCCTCGGAATGACACCCGAGTCCCAAAGATACAACCAAGTGCCCACCGAAGCCGAGACACTGACCAAGACGCACCAGAGGGACACGACACCGGCCACCAACAAGACACAGCCACCCGCCATCAACCCACCAATCCCATGGCACACCACAAATCAACTGGCACAAGACCTGAGGCCCAGGGCCCAAGCGGACTACTCACTGGCACTGAGACCTCTGCCGGCTTCTTGGCCCGCTCCACAACCAGCATCTGCAGACTGGAGCTGTTTGCTGCGACCACTGACCAGCCGATCTTCTGGAGGCCCCATCTGGTGAATGCAAGTCTTCCAGGCCTCCCGACGATGACCAACGACAATTCCACGGCCCAGAACCAGTTCTGGACTTCCACTGCCCAGCTCCGGGCCCCCAGGGGTGAGTCTGACCTTCACCTGGCAGGTCTGGGCCTGACTTCAGGAGCCGCGGCCGTGAGCTCCTCACCTGATGGATCCAAGCACAGAATGAGCTTCACGCATGTCCAGTTCGCCCCTGTTGAAAATGAAGAAAAAAAAATAGACGCTTGCTTTTTTAACCTGTCAGCCTGTATACCAATCCCCTACTGTGAGTTTCCTCATATCCAGGACCATGGACAGCTGCTTTTTGTAAGTAGCAGTTCTCACAATTCTGGGGCTTTACCCAATGGCTTTCCCAAGCTCCAATTAGATGGGAAAAATCTCCTGGAGTGGAGCCAACAACTCCAAATAGTATTTATGAGGGAGAATGTACTTTTTCTAATTTCTAAGCCACCCAATAAGCCATGGTCTTTTGAGATTGATTGTATGTATCACAAAGCGTTTTGTCTGTTGTTAACAAGTATATCACCCACCATGTATCCCAGCATAGGTAACCACCTGACCGTGTATGAGGTTATGCAAAAACTCTATGGCTTATTCTACAGTAGAAGCAGGGCCACCACCACGAGAATATCGAGGGATTTTCACTCAGCCAGGCTCAGGCCAGGGGTGTCCATGAGTGAGCATTTATTAAAACTCAATGCTACCAGGGCTGAATTACTGCAGAGGGGTGAGGCCATCATGGAGGAAAGCATGATGAGCATAATTATAAATGCACTGGACCCCAGCTGGGATAACTTTGTCACGCAGCTAGACAGCTTGAGTATAGGACACATGTCATTAGATAGTCTCACCAACAAATTGATTGCGGAAGACAGTTTAAGAAAGGACCGCCACCTGTCCAGAAAAGACTACAGACCCATAAAGAGGGTCGAATTCCAGGACAGAATAAACAGCATCCCTGAATGCTTCTCATGTGGTTCCAGGAACCATTTTAAGAGGGACTGTCCCAGAAATACTAGGGACAGGGGTTATAATGAGCACAGGGGAAGGCCTGAACCCAGACGAAGGTACCAAAGGGGGCAATCTCCAGACCACAGACCCACACAGGAACGAGGGCGTGGGTGGGCTCCCAACCCCAGACGAGGTAGAGAGCACAGGGACAGCTCCTGGGACAGTAACACAGGATCCGTCTATGGCTTTAGGCACGGGGAACCAACTCTCAGTCAGGAAGAGGAAAGAGGAAAGTTTGGCTCATAGATTCAGGGGCCACCAATCACACCACATAAAATGATAAATTATTCACCACTTTCACTGAGGTGAATTTTGAAATAAAGGTAGCCAACCATAGCAGCGTCAGAGTGATTGGGAAAGGAAACGTACACATCCCAGGGATAGGAGAAATAGAGGGGGCACTTTTCGTACCTGTTATACCATACAATGTACTGGCTACCATAAAGTTAAGCCGTGACACCAACATTGAGGTGGTATTCAGAGAAGGTAGCATACACATGTCCTGCAATGGAGAAAATGATGGGGGAGTAACTATACGTGATGGCCTACCATACTTCACACCAAACGAGGGCGACCAACAGTGTGTAAACACAAACGTGGCCAGTGAAGGAAGGGAGGACAGAGAAACAGAGGGAGTCAGCCAGAAGACCACCAGCTCTAAGTCATCCATAGGTGCCAAGATTTCCCTAGGGAAACCGGTCCATGATAACTGCGCTCACCTCCTCCATAGTAGACTAGGCCACATTAGTTTCCCAGTTGTCAAAAAGATGTTTGAATGTACTGAGGGATTGAAAGTAAAGAGTTGTGAAAATTACCTTGAGTGTTCTGTCTGTAAATGCTCAAAGATCAAACCTAGGCTGAGGCCAAGGAAATCAGGGTGGATTACTAACTCCATCTTCCAATTAATACACATGGACCTGGTAAGGCTACTGAGACCATCTATTAGATACAGAGAGAGGTTTTTCTTAACCATAGTGGACGATTTTAGCCGCTACAGCTTTGTATACACACTTAAACACAAAAACGAAGCATTCCAGAGATTCAAGGAGTTCTATAAGAGGGTGGAGGTTCAATATAACACCAAGATCAAACAGATAATGACAGACCACGGTTCCGAGTTCTTGTCTAGGGACTTTTCCAAATGGTTGAAGGAACGCGGCATACTGCATTTCACCTCCCCCCCTTTTTCGGCCTTCCAAAACGGCATGGTAGAGCGCAAAAATGGCATCCTACAAACCATGATGAGATGTGTTCTGGAAGATGTAGGGATAGGCCAAGCCTTCTGGTCAAAAGCCCTCCATTACTCAAATTATACATTAAACAGGTTATGGTCCAGCGTAATTGATAAGACACCGTATGAGATGATGCACAAAAGGAAGCCCAACCTAGCACACCTTCACGTGTTTGGCGTTCCAGCAGACGTACATATACCCAAACAGTTAAGGAGAAAAGGAGACAAGGTCTCCAAGAGACTAAGGTTCATGGGGTACGAGCCAGGAACGAAAGGCTTCAGATTCACAGACAGCAACAACAAATTCGTGGTGTCAAGATCAGCAGATTTTCATGAACACTCCAACTGGTCTAAACTGCACTCCAAAGACATCTTCCTTGGGGGAGACATATCCAGACATGAACAGAAGGAAAGGGACCAGGGCGCAGACAAAGTTGATGATACCAAGGCTCTCAGACCCAAACACCAAGGACTCAAGATTGAAGAATGGAAGGAAGGACATCCCACACTAAGCTTCGACAAACTCAAAGACAAAGAAGCCGAATGCCTACATGAGA